CTTTGACTCTTGCATGCCCTTCTCCAATCCTGTTTGGAACTTGGGAGCTTACAGTCCTCATTACGTGGGTAACTGTCCAGTAAGAGACCCTTATTCCTGGGCACCTCTATTTTCTAGGATGGAGTGTAGGCTGCTCGTGGGGCAGAAGGGTAGTCAAATATAGGGGTGTAATCTCTACCACAGTGAAGGAATCCAGTTTCCTGTCCTAGAAAAGGGAGCCTTGTGTACCATGGCTGGGTAGCTGCAGTACTCTAGGGAATTAGTGATATCTATTCTTACAAGTGGAGAAGGCAATGGCACCCCACTCCAGTACTCTTGCCTGGAAAATCCCATGGAGAGAGGAGCCTGGTAGGCTGCAGTCCATGGGGTCGCTAAGAGTCAGACATGGCTGAGCGACTTCACTTTCACTTTCCACTTTCATGCACTGGAGAAGGAAATGGCAACCCACTCCAGTGTTCTTGCCTGGAGAATCCCAGGGATGGGGGAGCCTGGTGGGCTGCCGTCTATGGGGTCGCACGGAGTCAGACACGACTGAAGCGACTTAGCAGCAGCAGCAGCATTCTTACAAGATTTTTAAAATGAAGTCTCATGAGCACCGGCTCAGGAGGGCAGAGGATAAATGGAGTTAAACTGGTAATGAGCTTTCTCACCGTGCTTGAAGATGCTCACCTAATCTGCTGACTCTCAATAAGCAATTTGGCCGCCTAATTGGGTTAACCAGTAATTTCCCTTTTGACACCCAGGCTGCTTGATAATTTGGGGGGGTAACTGTGATTCTGTTTCATTGTTTCTTTTCTACGTGAATTTCTCACTTTGCCTCTGGGATTAGAGCTGGGAGTAAAGTCTCACTATGCCCCAGGCCCACCACGCCTCTTTATGCCTCTAAGCCCGGCTGGAGCAATTGCCTCCACTGGGAATATCTCGCTCAGAACCCTCACCTTCAGCGCTGGCCTGAAAGCCCAGGTGCATCGTGTGGGTGGGATGGAGGAACAAGCCTTCGGACCTGCAAGGCAGAATGAACGACTCCTTCCACTGTCATCCCACAGCTCCGTCATCCCACAGCTCTTTCAACAATTAACATTAATAGCGAGCAGGGATCAAGGGCCAGCACAGACCAGCCGCTTTGCTAAAGCTGTGGTGCAGGCTCACAGCAACACTTCAAGGAAGAGAGATGGCGTGCTGTTTTTGTACTTTTTATTACTGTGGTAAAACACAGATAACCCTCTCAAGCATTTTCAAGCATACGGTAAGGGCGGGATTAAGTGCACTCACTTTGCTGCGTAACCAGAACTATTCCACCATCCCAAACTGAAACTCCACACCTGCTAAACCCTAACTCCCCGTTTCCCTTCTTCTGGCCCCGCGTGGCCACTGGCGCACTGTTTTAGAAATGCGGGAGCTGCTGGGTAGGGAGGTGAGGTGACGTGCTCATGGTTTCAGAGCTGGGACTTGGCATGCCTAGGACCTGGGACCAAGGCTCCTCACTAGAAGCCGGGTCCGCGTCTTTTCCACCCTGCCTGTTACAGACAGTGGCAAAGCTGTCACAGCTCCCCCTCCCCTCTTGGCTATTTACCAAGATTCTCGATTCTAGAATGATGCCTGGTCTACGGAAGGAGCTCAGCACAGCTACAGAACAAATCACAGAATGAATCTGCTAAAGAGGCACTGCATCCACCTGATCCTGTGGTTGGAGCGCAAATGCAACCTCTGCTTTCTAAAAAAGCATTTATGGGATGCCAACTGTGTGCCCTGGCATGACGTCAGCTCCTCCTTGCTGTGGCCCAGCTCAGCAGGAGGGGCCTGAGGGCTGGTTCCACCTGACGGCCCTGAGGGGAGAGATTTGTGTTTACAATACCCAGTCAATTCTGTATTTATTTTGGATATTAAGCAGTGACATAAAAGCTGCTGACATTAACCTTGAGGGGCAGAAATTGGCTTTAATGGACCCCATAAAAGTTATTATTGATGGCAGCTGCCTGCAGCTTCACCGTGACCTCAGCAAAAGCCTCCACCACTATCAATACTGCTGACAATTACTATTGACTAATGCAAGGCTGGGCGTAGAGGCCGTCAATGTTCCCGTGGCTGGAAGCTGCTTGGGGTCACGCCTCGGGTCCTCAGGTGCTGATTCAAGTAGAAGTGGGCAGAGAGTTCAGCCTATAGCAGGCTGATCGGCAGAGAGACCTGAGTTCACACCCAGGCTTGGCCCACCTGCTGGATTCTTGGCTGAACAATCTCCAGCCAAGTCAGTAGACCTTGTGGGAACCTCAGTTTTCCCATCTGGGAAATGGGAGTGCCGTGCTGCTTCATGAGGGTGGAAGGCAACGACCCACGTGCGGTGTCCTGACACACAGTAGGCCCTCAGTTTGGCCTCCTCCTGCCCCTGAAAACTGGCCACACTGAGATGCGTCGGCCAACACGTCCAGTGGAGTCAAGCTCTGTTCTGATGTAAGATCAGAGTTCTCATCACAGATACAGGAGAGAACTGGGACCAGGAGGATGAACGAGAGAGGAGAGGACAGCACCGGGAAAAGAAGGGAGAGCAGGGGGACCAGGAACAAGAGGAGGGCCACCTCGAAAGAACACAGGCTCCGGTGAAGAGCCTGGGGGCTCCAGCTCAGCTCGACACAGGGCTGCAGCACGCCCTTCCCCTCTGAACCCCAGTCCTTGGCTATAATTGAGGTTGACAAGGATGAATGTTATCAACCTCTTCGGGGGATAAAGGGAGTCACTTCTATGGCTCATTCACCTTCAGCATGAGCCACTGTCATTATTTAAACTCCACTACAACAAAGCCTGCCGATGCCAGAGATGCAGAAGATGTGGGTTCGATCCCTGGGTCAGGAATATCCCTGGAGGAGAAAACAGAACCCACTCCAGTATCCTTGTCTGGTTAATCCCATGGACAGAGGAGCCTGGGGGGGTCTCAAAGAGTCAGACACAACTGATGGACTGAGCATGCACTCATGTCATTCAGATCTTCAGATAACAAAGATACTAATGTAATTTTCCAACCTGGAGCAAGAGGACAGGGGCAGGGGCACCTGAGGGATGTGTGGGTTTGGAAGTCCAGGCCTGGAAGGGAGGAGGTGTTGGATCTGCCTGCCCATCTTCCCTGAGCATAGGGTTAAGAGTGCTGTGGCCCAGCGTGGAGATGGATTGCCAGGAGGTGAGCGTGGGGTGGCCAGGGAAGCAAGAAGCCATCCCCCTGTCCCCGCTATCAAAGGCCGAAGCTCTCCAGGCTCGTTGATTATGTCATTATCACCCAACAGAGGCTTAATTCAGCTGCAATTCAGCTCTCAGGGAATACACAATAATGTGGGCGGTTATGCTGCTTGCTAATATATCCATCAGCATGATTAATAGCATGTTAAAGGTTCTGATAAGTCCTGCAGTCAGGAAACGGGTTCAAATTCCTTGAACTCAATGTTTCCTACACTATTTGACCACAGAACACTCTCTTCTACCCACCCTCACCTGCAATCTAAGAAACACTAACATTCTCAGAACACCAGGAATGCTGATTTCATTAAAACTGCTTATTTTACAGATGAGGAAACTGAGGTCCTCATCTATAGTGAGAAGGGATCTAACTTATCCAACGCTACACTCCAGGTCAGCGATGGACCCGAGGCTGTCTGCCTCCTGGTCGGACACCACTTTGTCTGTTCCGGCCTCAGACATCAGATTCAGGGTGCAGTCGGGAAGAGAGAGGAGGGCTGCTGGCTGGGCTTGGGCCTAGGTGGGAAGGAGGATAAAGGGGTGCAGATGGCTCCCCAGTGCAGAGAGGGCTGGTGGAGTGTCAAGAGAGGGTGAAACTACCAAGTTGGGGTCTGTCACCTGCTGCCGCCCCCACCCCCCAAACCCAGTGCGCAGGGTCCCGAGGAAACACTCTGAGTTCTCCAGCAGGAGGGGCAGAAAAAGGATTTGCAATCCTGCTGCTCTGGACTCTTTTTGGAGTTTGCATCTCTCCACCGGACGGTGTCCTTACTTAGACTCTTGCATGATCCCAAGCCTGGGACTGTGTCATGTATATAACTCACTGGAGCATCCTTGTTTAGAGGCGAACCTGCCTAAGCCTTCACCGCTGACCTGGTGTCCACCCTCCCCACCCCGCACCCTGGCTCCCCAATTCCCCCTAAATCCTGGGCAGGAATCACACAGGATGCTGCGTTTAGAGCTGGAAGCCAGCAGGGGGAACTGGTATGCAGCTTGGTTCTTCCTGTTCTCACTCAGCTTGCCCTCCCCACATTTGGAGTGGCAGGGGCCAGCAGAACCTCTCACTGGACTTCTGGGGAAAAAAAAAAAAAAGTCTAGCAGGAGCCTCGTCCTCCGTGGGGACCTCTTCTGCCCAGAGACCAAAGGGCACAAGGCATCGCAGAAAGAGAGCCTGCCTTGGTGGCCCGTGGCAGGCCTGTGTTTAACTCGGAGCCCCTCGGAGAGATCTGCCAAACAAGGTTCGAGAGAGAGGCCGAACAGCCTGAAACCTGGCTCCCTTTCCTTCCCCCGCGCCAAGGCGGCGCGTGAACAAGCTGTCATCTCTCTCTCCCCCAGCATCTCTCTGGCATTGGAACAGGGCTGCAGAGATGAGTGGACTAGAGTCCAGAGCCAGCACTTCCTCCGATCTGCAGATGAGATCATGGGAAAGCTGGGGGAGAAATGGGAGTTTTAAGCTACTCCAACATGAAACTCTTGTGTGAAAGCCATCCTCCCATCAGCAGAAGACCCTGGGGTGCGGCAGCGCCCACGGCGAGTGCCCAGGGTGGCTGGGGGCTTGTGAACAGAGTTCTGGGGCAGGGGGTGCACGGCTGAGGTCACAGAGGACGGGCTGTTGGGGGTGGGTTACGCTGCCCTCTGGCCCCTCCGCTGCAGCCACAGGCAGCCTATAAGCCATAACCCTGTCCCTTAGGCACCCCCTCATCTGGAAGAAAAGAGCGGCAACCCATCTCTGGCCCATCAGCCGTGCGTGGGGGTATTCCATGTGACTCTGAGAGGGGTTCTGCCTTCTGACCGCTGAGAGCAAAGCAATTTTCCACCGCCTTGCCCAGTGCCCCCAGGTCAGCACGGTAATTCAAACCCGGGGCCTGGAACCCCGGCTCCAGCTCCGCCGAGCGGGCCACTCACCGGTCTCCGTGTTCTCGTGCTCCGTATCGGTGAGCGTGAGGTTGGAGTTGGCCCGGCTGGACAGGCAGGAGCTGCGCCCCGACCGCGTGCTGCGGCCCCACAGCCGCACGGGGGGCTCGGGGGACAGCGCGGCGTCCGCCTCCAGGTCGGCCTCGGAGCTGGCGCCCAGGGCGTAGCCGCAGTGGGGCAGGCCGATGTCCGCGCGGTACAGGCTCCCGTGCGGCGGGGTCACCTCCCCCAGCCCCAGCTCGCGCAGGGAGAAGTTGGTACCTAGGAGGGAAGGCAAGGGAGCTAGGTTAGGGTAACGGCGGGGGGGGGGGGGNCCCCAGAGGCCTGACCCCTGCTCCAGGACTCACCCGTGTCCTCTGATTCACGGCGGTGGTCCATGCCCAGGCCTCTCCTCCGCGTCCTCCCCACCAGCCCAAACCCTCCACACCTTACTGGAAGGCCAGCTCATATGGCCCCTCCTTGACGTCTCCCCTCATCCTACCCTCTGTGCAGAAGTCACTGCTTCTTTTTCTGAGCCTCTTCTGAGAGTCCTCAGCCCTGGGCATTTTGCAGAGCAGAGCTGCTTAAGGGGCTGGACCCTCTGCTGGAGATGGCTTCCTGGGGCAGGGCACGGACTGTACCCCATTCATTCCTAAACCCCTGGGCCTGGGGCACAACCCGGGACCCAACCCACTGGGCTCAACACATGTCTGCTCAGCTGGACAGAGGCCTTCTGCTCTCCTCTTCCAGGCTGGGGAGGGCCTGCCGGCAAGGAGGGCTCCTGAATAAGGCAGAAGCCTAGCCCATGAGATGCCAATGGCTCCCCAGGACCTGACGCTCCTTTCTGGCCAGGTCAGGAAGGCCTGGAGCGGGAAGGTGAAGATGATGGGGACAGGCTGAGAAAAGTGGTCCCTGCACAAGGGAGGAGCCTCTGCCCTCTGCTGGGTCAGGCCTGGTGGGCTGCGACAGGAGTTGGCAGGCTCTGGGGCAACCCAGGGAGCCAGGCACACAGCCAAGGCTCGGGGCCGCTGACAGGTCTCTTGAGGCCCTCGGGAAAGCCTGGAGGTGCCCAGGACAGAGGCCAGGAAGACATGGATGAGGGAGGCTCATTCAGGGATCAGTGTCTGCGGGACAAACAGGATACTAGCTGCTGCGGGAAACACAGCCTCCACATTCCGCAGTGTCTATCAGGCACGGCTTCTTCCTAATTTCTAACATTCTCAGGAGTGTTTTTGAGAGACGGGGAAGGACAGGTGGATGCATACTCCTGTCAAACGGACGGAGGACCATACTCCAGTTAAACCACTGATCTGGGAAATGGACTTGCAATCAGGGAGCACCACATTTCACCCAACCAAGCCGGCCCTGGGTCTTTCCTGATGTACAGCAATGAGCAGGGCATGGTTCCTGACTTCACAGAGCTCACAGTCCATGGGGGAGATACAACCCAGACCATGATGCAGGGTTAAAGCCCTAAGTGTGGGAGGATGCCAGGAAAGAGGTCTGGGGGCACAGAGGGTGGGAGTTCAGAGTAAATGTGAAGAGCGGAGTAAGGAGAGACAGGGGAGGATGTACGTGCTTTGAAGGGCCTGACACCCAGGAGCAGTCCTGGAGGCCAAGCTGGCAAAGGAAGGGAGAAGGGACTGCCAGGAGGGGAGCCAGCAGAGATGGCCTCCTCTCCCAGTCATGTGCATCACTCTTACCACGAGTCCCTTTGTATCCCCCGGAGAAGGGAAAGGCTACCCACTCCAGTATTCTGGCCTGGAGAATTCTATGAAGTGTATAGGCCATGGGGTCGCAAAGAGTCGGACGCGACTGAGTGACGTTCACAGGGAAGCAGAAGGAGGAAGAGAACTTTGTAGGCTGCAGTGCCCATGCCTGCCTATGAGCTGAGAGCGCTTCCTGTTTGTTATTTCTGAAGACGAGAGCGGCTCCTTCTGGGCCCGGCAGGGCTCACTGACCCCGACCAAGCATGGCAGCACAGAATTGGAGGAGAGCTTTGACACCACTGGTCGCATCCGCTCACTGAGACACAGAGATGGCAACCAGAAGCGGGCAGCGTTTCTGAAGCATCTGCTTTAGGCAAGTGTTACGTGCTCCATCGACAGTCCTCCTTGTTCTCCTCACCACTCTATAATTAGGAAGCATTGCTGTGACTGCACCATCCAGGTGAAGACACTTAGGATAATAAACATGGCAGAGTCAGAACTCAAACCAGGTCTGTCTGATGTCAAGGTCTGAGCTGTTAACCAAAAATGGGAAAGAGCTGAAGACCCTTTGTCTTTAAAGCACCAGAGGCAGTCTTGCTAACAGCTCAGCTTTCCATGTGGATGAAAGCCTGGGGGAGAGGCCAGCTAGTCAGTCAGGCTCTATGGGAGTGTGTGAGTATGTGTGTGTGTGTGACCAGCTCCTCTTGTCTCTGTGATCTTGGGCAAATGAATCACTGAGGTTGTTGTAAAGGTTAACTAACAATGTCAGAACGCATATAAATTACATGGCACAGCCCCCTGCTAACCTTGTCCATGGAAGGGGAGTGGGCAGGGCAGAATCAGGGAGGGCTGTGTGAACTGTCAGGGACTTGTAGGGGCCTACCCGGCATTGAAGAGACTCTGCAGGCAGAAGAACAGGAATCACTGAGGCACCAGTGATGTAAGTCGCCCACAGCAGGAGTGGGAACAACGAGCAGCCCTGCAGAGCTGGATGTGGGTGGTGGGGTGTGGAAAGGCAGGGGATAAAACAATCCAGAAAGACAAAGACTTGGGGAAAGCCCTCTAGTGTTGAACTCACTGTATGGACAGCAGGGAGTCAATCTCTACTTCACTCTAGCTGCAGGGCTGAGCATGGCCCAAAGGCGGCAGCACTGAGTGAAGAGGGGTTGTGGTCAACCCCCCAAAAGAGATGACAGTGGCCAGAACTGGGACAGTGGCTGATGGGATAGAGAAGACGGATGGATTTGAAAGGTATTCTGGAGCTGGATAGCTAGGCTTTCGTGACTGCAGTGTGTAGGGATTGAAGGAGAGGGAGTCAGGCACAAAGATACGCCCCCAGATTACTAAATTCTTAAGGTCTCGGATCACCAGCATCTTCCTCTCAAGGTCAGTGAAAGTTGCTCAGTCCTGTCTGACTCTTTGTGACCCCATGGACTATACAGTCCATGGAATTCTCCAGGCCAGAATACTGGAGTGGGTAGACTTTCCCTTCTCCAGGGTATCTTCCCAACCCAGGGATCGAACCCATGTCTGCCGCATTGCAGGCGAATTCTTTACCAACTGAGCTTTGAGGGAAGCCCACTGAGCTACGAGGGAAGCTCATAGCCTCAAGGTCAGGACAGTGCTTAATGCAGAGAAGCTGCTTAGATATGTTCGCTGAATGAATACATATAGAACAAACGACAAAGCCAGTAACTAGGGCTTACTCAGCACGTGGGGCTATCACACTTACCTCGTAAATGCGTCGTCTCATGACTCCTCGAGACAAATCAGGGCAGTAAGGAGTGCTCTCGGCCTCTCACCGGAGAGGCTTGGAGGAGAGCTGGAAACTGCTCAGAACTCAACCCCAGGCAGGCGCTGACACGAAATCCGCACCTAACCGTCTCATTATGCCCACAAGAGGGGTGAGCAGGCAAATGAATGAACCAAGAGCGGACTACAGTCGAGGCTCTGACCAGAGCCAGGCAGCCAAAATAGCGGAGAGCTGGCGTTGCCGGGGAGCGTTCCACCCTGCTGGGCTTGCGGGTCAGCTCACCTGCCGTCCCAGTGTAAACCACGTGCGCCCCCCCTCCCAGGGGACACCTGTGCGCATGCGCGACCCCAGCCGGGCCCCAGTGCGCATGCGCGACCCAGCCCCGCCCCCATCACCCGGGGGCACACCTGTGCATAGGTGCATCCTAACCCCCTACTGGCCGCCCTCACCTGCGCGGCAGAACTCCTCGGCCTCCTGCGGTACCAGGTCCTTGACGCGGCTGCCGTAGGTGAGGCGCGCGTCCTGGTCGTAGGCCTTGAGGGTCTCGCTGGAGCTGTAGGACTTCTGCGGGGCCTTGCCCTCCTCGCTGTCTGCCGACGAGCTGGTGTAGCGGCGCTCGGCGTCGCGGCGCCGGGTCAGCGAGCGGTATGGCTTCCTCTCCTTCACGTCCATGGCCTCCGGCCCGCGCTCCTCCACATCCACGAACAGGGTCCTTGCCGCGCTCAGGGCAGAGTGGTCTGGAGCCCGAGAAACCAAAGAAAGGGCGTGAGCTGCGGACCCAGGAGGGAAAGGCGAGCCCGGGGTCCATCCCGGCCCTCGCTTCACCCTGCAGCGCTGTGGATGAGGGTCCTCAGGCTCCGGAGGCTGAGGGCTCCATGGCCACGCAGCCGTAAGTGGCACAGGGGAACTGGCACTCAAAGTCGGTAATGATGAACCCCTTCTCGTCCCGCTTGGTGACCTATCCACTTGTGAAGATGCCCAGAGCCTCTCCTTCCGTGATGGGTACCAAGGAGGCTGACATCGAAGGCCAGAGGGCGCCGGCTTTCCAGTCACCCTGGATGGGAATCACACGTTGTATTCCCATGAGGCCCCCAGCTGGGACAGGGCCTCACACAGACCAGGGCCTCCTTAAGAATGTGTGAAACGAACAACTACATTCAGGTACGGGGATAAGCACTTTACATATATTATCCTATCAAATGTCATATGTCCCCAGATGTTTTTATTTTCTCCAAACTTTTCTGGAAATGAGCCAAGGTGTAAGGAACCAATCCACAGTTATCACCACCAGATAATTAAATAATTACCTGCTTATTGTCTGTTTTCTTGCACTAATATGTAGACACCATGAAAGCAGGGGCCTTAACACTTTTGCTCACTCCTGATTTACTGCACCTAAGGTGAAGCCTGGTGCCTCTCATATATATTTAATAAACCAGCCAACCAATCTTCATCTGACAGATGAGAAAACTGTGATGTCAGACCTTGAAGGTGACTTGGGTTTGAGTATCAAAGCCAAGATCTGAAACCAGGTCTGTTTGACTCTAAAGCCTGAGTTTTCCTATTTTATTTTACCCGGGTGAGTCCCCTCCCTCCCACCACACAAAAGTACATGTAGGCTGGTCCTGGCAACCATGCCAATCAGAGAACTCCCTCACCTCCAGACTTGTCCATCTCATTGGAGGTGCCACAGCACCTGCTGTATACGTCTGGGGTTTGCCAGGGTATCTGAGTGATGGGAAATTCCTCATTTCCCATTCTCCTCTTTTCTGCATCTTGACTATTTTGCCCTATACCGACATTTTTTTTTAAAGCTGTTATGTCACCCTCTTTCTCTTTCCAAATGTCTTCCTTTGGCTCTGGTGTCCAAATGTAGCCAGCCCCCTGCAAGAGTCAGGGGGTCAGCACAGGAGGAAAGCAGAATATTCCGCACAAAGTATGATCAGAGCTCTTTTCTGAAACATACAACCTTCTCAGACCTTTTATCGTTCCACTTTTCAGAGCAACATGGGCATACAAAATGTGTTGTTGTGTCACGGTCCTAATAGAGAAGCGACAGAGCAAGAGCCTATCATCAAGGAGTCTCAGTGACCAACAAGGAGGGTGGCAGTCCTGCCCAGCGGGGCGCTGGTGTTCAGTGCCTGCCAATGCTGTGACATAGGAGTTCAGGGGGTCTTGTGACTTTTTAAGACAGGCTGGAAATTTCGACTTGGATGTAAAATGTATGATTTTTAAATGTTATCCATTTTTATATGTAGGCCAAACTAAACACACTGATGGAAACCACTAGCCAAAACAAAACTGACCCAAGTTCTGCCTCTGATCATGGACCTCAGAGGTATCAGTATCCCTTTGGCCTGAGGATGCACTCTTCCTTCCCAAGTCCCCCAGGGCAGAGCTTAGCTAGGTTCCAATGCAACCTTTATCTGTCTTATTAAAGGGCCCTCTGGACCCACTCAAATGGGGTCATATGTCCTAACCCAGAAAACTGCAGCACTTTCTCTGCAAGAAAACATCTGTGGTTACCACTAGATGCCTTTGGGGTTTATCACAGATCCTGAGTATCTGCTGCAGACTTCCCTCTACGTAGTTCTCCATGATCTTCAAGAGTGCAAAAAAGTGTGACTTTATTGGTGCCTCAAAATAACCATGAAGTATATATGACAATTATATTCACCCCCCCCATTTTATACATGAGGCCACAATAACCCAGAGCCCTACCATCTCCTACCCAGGGGCATATGGTGAGCTAGTGGAAAAGCCAGCATTATTAGTCAGAATACAGTGCCTTAGGGTTATAACTAGAGCCAGTTAAAATGAATAAGGGACATTTTGGGGGGTGCAGTTTTCAAAATGGCCCTGGAAATTAGTGCTGGGATGAGGGGGGTTGATACATAGAGATCAAATCATCTTCCTGAGGCCTCAGGGCCCTGAGCTCTGCCCTCTTGATGCTAGGCCTCCTGACACAAGCTGTCAAGACAATGATCTGAGTGCCTGAGGAGCAGGACCACAGGGAAGACAGGGGATGATATCTTCTACTCCAGGGTCTGCAAAATATTCCTTTCTAAAATCCATAATTTGAAAAATATCTTCCATTGTGAGTTGATACACAGATATATGTATGTGAGTGTATTTGTATGAAATGGAAAAAAGATACAAAAGTCACTTCCATGAGGGGCAATGCACTCTGATATTTCCTATTTCATTCTCTTTCATTTTTTGAAAATGGCTGATTATAACTCTCTAAACTGAAATCATGGCTCAATACTGGCTTTTCACTCAAAGCAGTGGAGGTAATGGAATTCCAGCTGAGCCATTTCAAATCCTAAAAGATGATGCTGTGAAAGTGCTGCACTCAATATCCCAGCAAATTTGGAAAACTTAGCAGTGGCCACAGAACTGGAAAAGGTCAGTTTTCATTCCAATCCCAAAGCAAGGTAATGCCAAAGAATGTTCAAACTACCGCACAATTGCACTCATTTCCCATGCTAGCAAAGTAATGCTCAAAATCCTCCAAGCTAGGCTTCAACAGTATGTGAACCAAGAATTTCCAGATGTTCAAGCTGGATTTAGAAAAGGAACAGGAACCAGATATCAAATTGCCAACATCTGTTGGAAAAAGCAAGAGAATTCCAGAAAATATCTACTTCTGTTTCATTGACTACATGAAAGACTTTGACTATGTGGATCACAACGAATTGTGGAAAATTCTTAAGGGGATGAGAATACCAGACCACCTTACCTGCCTCCTGAGAAACCTGCATGCAGGTCAAGAAGTGGCAGTTAGAACCGGCCATGTAATAATGGGCTGGTTCCAAATTGTGAAAGGAGTACATTAAGGCTGTATATTGTCATCCTGCTTATTTAACTTATATGGAGAGTACAGCATGCAAAATTCCAGGCTGGATGAAGCACAAACTGGAATCAAGATTGACAGGAGAAATATCAGCAACCTTGGATATGCAGATGACACCACCCTTATGGCAGAAAGCAATGAGGTACTAAAGAGCCTTTTGATGAAGGTGAGTGAATAGGAGAGTAAAAAAGCTGGCTTAAAACTCAACATTCAAAAAACAAAGATCATGGCATCTGGTCCCATCACTTCAAGGCAAATTGATGGGGAAACAATGGAAAAAGTGACAGACTTAATTTTCTTGGGCTCCAAAATCATTGCTGATGGTGACTGCAGCCATGAAATTAAAAGACACTTGCTCCTTGGAAGAAAAGCTATGACAGAGTATTAAAAAGCAGAGACATTACTTTGCTAACAAAGGTCTGTATAGCCAAAGCTATGGTTTTTCCAGTAGTCATGTATGGATGTGAGAGCTGGACCATAAAGAAGGCTGAGTGCTGAAGAGTTGATATTTTTGAAATGTGGTGTTGGAGAAGACTCTTGAGAGTTCTTTGGACTGCAAGGAGATCAAACCAATCAATCCTAAAGGAAATCAACCCTGAATATTCATTGGAAGAACTGATGCTAAAGCTGAAGCTCCAATACTTTGACCACCTGATGCGAAGATTTGACTTACTGGAAAAGACCCTTATGGTTGGAAAGATTGAAGACAGGAGAAGGGGATGACAGAGGGTGACATGGTTGGATGGCATCACTGACTCAATGGACAAGAGTTTGAGTAAGCTCCGGGAGTTGGTGAAGGACAGGGAAGCCTGGCGTGCTGCATGGGGTTGCAGAGTCAGACATGACTGAGCGACTGAACAACAATGGCTCAGCCTAATTTGGATAAGGATTTATGGGGACTGCCACCTCAACTCTGTTCCCTCTGACTCCTTACCTCCAACCCATTACTTCAAGTAACAATAATGATGGTGATGATAATAATAAGCACTCAATTAATTTTAATGTTAATTGGTCACTAATAGTTCATAATATGAATAATGGCATTATTAATATCCAATATACTGTTATATTTAGTAGCTATTACTTATGCAGTGTTTAACTCCATAACTTTTACTATAATTATATGTGATAACATTTTAATTCTCACTTCAGTGTTATAGGTACTAGAATTCTCTGCGAAGTACAGATGAGAAATTGTGAGGTTAAGTATCCTGCCCAAGGTTACATAGCTCTTGAGTGATGGAGCCACAGTTCAGACCCAGGTGACTCAACTCGCACATGGATATAACCTGTGAATGGTACTGCCTTTGTGGACGGTGCCAGGTCATGCCACTGCCTGCCTTTGTCCCTCTAGCTGCCCTGTGGAGCCTTCCGGATGAGTTCCATTTTCTTGGTCAAAATGGAAAGCTCTTCTCCATCTGGCCCACCTTCCTTCTCCACTGTTGAGCCACTTTCCTGGACATTAATTCTGTGGCCTTCACACCTCTGTGCATGCCTGTTGCATCACAGAACATCCAGCTGTCTAGATGGTCTGTACTCACATCTGCATCTCCTCTTAACTGCAGTAGGTTGAAGGCAGGCCTGGCCTCCTGAGTGTTCATGAAATGTCTGCTGAGTGAATGAATAAATAAAATTACTTGGCAGCTACTTTATCCCTTCTTACCAATCTTAAGTGATATAAACTGTGGGTAGTTACATTTAGGCCATGTGTGTTAGTTCATAAGATTGAACTAAAGGCATTGCTTGGGTGTATTATTTTTAAATTTCAAAGGCAACCTGGATTTGAAGTATATGGCTGCCACTTCACCACTGTGTGACCTTGGTCAAGTTATTTAATCTCTCTGTTCTGCAGTTTCCTCATTAAAATAGTACCAACCTCTT